GCAGAAAGAAACACAGTTATTTACCTCCTCACTTTGCAAAGGAATCACAGAGGGGGGAACAAAAAGAAATGAAGGGAAACTCAGGAGGGAGGGAGGGGAGGGGAGGAGGGAGGGTTGCCAGGCAACCTTTGGGGGTGGATACGGGAGAGGGCGGGGTTTGGGGAGGGGAGGGGCCCCACCAATGCTCCTTTTAAGCTGTGGAGTCTTGTGAGCAAGAATTCTACTTTGTGAGCTCCTGGCATGAAAGTTGTGAGCGAGCGATTTGGCTACTGCATAAATTAGTTTACCTCTGGAGCCCTCCTTCCTGAGCTGAGACAAAAGTGAGTGAGCCAGAGGCTAAAAAACTGAGCTAGCTCACACTGACTCAGCTTAGAGGGAACACTGCCTGTGAGGCAGGTGGGGCCAAGAGAGCTCTGAGAGAACTGTGACTGGCCCAAGGTCACCCCAGCAGCTGCATGTGGAGGAGGAGTGGGGAATCAAGCCCAGTTCTCCAGATCAGAGTCTGCCGCTCTTAACCACTGCACCAAACTGGCTCTCTCTCTCTTGAGATCCTAAAGAATTTGAGCTGAGCTGAAGAAGGACAGGTCTCGTAACTCACAAGTTCTAACAGGACATCCTCCAAAAGTCAGAAGTAAGGGCAGTAACGTACCAGGGGCAGGTACTGGAGTCTACAATGTGGTGTCCGTAGACAACACTGTGCCCACCGACACCTTTCCTGTTGCCCAACAAGTGTTTTTAGAAAGTGGGCGGGGCTTTCGCCCTGCAAGGCTTCTGATTGGTCACTGGTGTGGTGTATTCAATCGGACACTGTATGTATGTGAACTCACTCATTGAATCACCATGTGAAGCTTACATCCTGGGCTAGGATCCTAATCCTTCAATTGTAATTGGTAGCCCAGAAAGAGCCAACCAATCACCAACAGCCAGTTCCATGAGAGGGAACTCTTGTGATTGGTCCTTATCCGTATAACCTTATTGGTTGGAATTTGTATAGTAGGCGTGGCTACATTAGCCGGGAGGGTTTAAAAGCAGAACAGCTTCAATGCAAAAGCTGTTCTGGCTATTCATGTTGATCTGTTTGGAGTTGAGTTACGAGTTGCTGAATAAAGCTGATCTTTTGCTGAAATCACTCTCTGACTCTTTGCTAAGTAACTGCCTTAACAACTGGAGATTTGATTGGCTGTAGAGAGATCTAAAAACGTTGCTTTCTCAGCACCTGCCACCACACCACAGGGATCTTCACTGTGTGACTGAAGGTAAGCTGGGGCAGCCATTTTGTAGCTGGCTCTGCCTCCCATGGCAGCCATTCTGTGGCACCCATTTTGTGGCTGCACCCAACACATTCTGTCAGAATCCCAAGGGTGCCCCACAGGCTCATCAAGGTTGGGGACTCTGGCTCTGGTAAACAGGGAAAGCTGAAGATCGTGCAGCGAGAGCCCTCATTGGACAAGCTCACCTGATGGATCAAAGCGTGCAAGTTTTGATGCTGAGAATGGATCACGTGGTCCAGATGACTTATTTGCTCCTGGAGAGTAGAGATCTCTGTCTGAACTTTGACGCAGCTGTGAGGAGAAGAAGAACAAAGGAAGCATTATGGGGTCAGGGGCCTCCGACCTGCCTTGAGCTTAAGAATCCGCATAACGATTACAGATAAATTCACCCCCTTCTTAATAGCCAAGAGTACAATTGGTCAGTAAGTAAAGGTTTCCCTGGCTCAAAAGCCAGTCAAATCCAACTGTAGGGGGCGGTGCTCAACTCCGTTTCCAAGCCAAAGAGCCAGCGCTGTCCGAAGATTTTTTCCGTGGTCATGTGGCTGGCATGACTAAACACCAAGGCGCACGGAACGCTGTTACCTTCCCACCGATGTGGTACCTATTTATCTACTTGCAATTTCTGGCTTTCGAACTGCTAGGCTGACAAGAGCTGGGGCCAGAGACGGGAGTGTCACGCGGCACTCAGGTCTCGAACTGCCTAACTACAGACCTTCCAGTCTGCAGCTCAGCGTCTTAACCTCTGAGCCACCATGGCCCCTACAATTGGTCAGTAGGTTCTCCTAAAATGAACATTGGGTACCCCGGACCCCTCTTTGGTTCTCCGTGCTTGACTAAGCATTTATTATGCTCTCCCATATACAAAATAAAATGTTCTATAGTATACAGATTGGATTGTCCTTTCTGATTTAAAAGCAGTCTCACAACTGAACACAAAAAGTTGGGCAAACCTGTTAGTGTCTTCTGCTTTCAACATCATTTGTTGCAGCTTCCCTTTTAATAACCGTTGCTTCTCTTTCAGTGTCTTCTTTTCCTAGGAAACAGCAACAGTGGTCATTGCCCTCGCTCGGAACAGAGCTGTCTTTGATACAGATTAAGATCTGCAGCCCAAATTAGTGTGTCTGTAGCAGTAGACAAGAGCAAGGGTCCAAGAGCACCTTAAAGACTAACAAAATTTGTGGCAGGTTAGGAGCTTTTGTGAGCCACTGCTCACTTTGTCCCTGCAGGGCTCTGGGCAATGTACAGCCACAGACAGAACAAGATAAAATCAGTTAAAACATTAGTAGAACATTAAAGACAATCAGATGGTGAATAACCAATCCCCATTCCAGATCCCACTGCCAGCTACTTTACGGACAGGGGGAAAGAGGGGGTTGTTGTTGTTGTTGTTCAGTCGCACAGTCGAGTCCGACTCTTCGCAACCCCATGGACCACATCACGCCAGGCCCTCCTGTATTCCGTCGTGCTCCGGAGTTTGCTTAATTCCATGTTCATTGCATCCATGACACTGTCTAACCATCTCATCCTTTGCCGTCCCCGTCTTCTTTGACCTTCATTCTTTCCCAGCATCAGGGTCTTCTCCAGTGAGTGCTCCCTTCTCATTGGGTGGCCAAAGTATTTGAGCTTCAGCTTCACTGTCTGGCCTTCCAGGGCACAGTCAGGGCAGATTTCCTTTAGGATTGACTGGTGAGGTAGACGTAAAGAGCAGAGGACAGACAAGGGTGTCAGCCAAGATGGAACCATCGCTGCCCTCAGCCAAAAGCCTGGCGGAACATCTCTGCCTTTGCAGGCCCTGCGGAACTGCATCAGACCCCACAGGGTCCTGATGGAATTTGGCAGAAAGTTCCACAAGGTTGGGGCCCAGACTGAAAAGGCCCTGGCCCTGGTTGAGGACAGCCGGATGTCCACAAAATGTGCATACCCTCTTTCTGTGGCCAACCTATTTTGAAATCTGCACAGCCAATCAAATCTCCAATGGCCAATCTGAAGCCTGGCTTGGCAGGAGCCCCACGTGGCCTCACCCACTTTCTAAAAACACTTGGCCGGCACCAGGAAATGTGCCAGTGAATGCCACAGAGCCACACTGGGGGCCCCTGGGACACCTGGTGTTGAGATTAGACAGGCTCGGATCTAGGAGACTTGCGTCCAAATCCCTACTTTGCCAGAAAGTCACACCGGGTGACCTTGGGCCAGTCGGTTACTCAGCGTAAACTAGTGCACAAGGTAAAAGAACAATGTTATAAGCTGCTTTGAGTTCCCACTAGGGAGAAAAATATAGCATAAATGTAGTGGTTAAGAATGGCGGACTGTAATCTGGAGAACCGGGTTTGATTCCCCAGTCCTCCACATGCAGCTAGCTGGGTGACCTTGGGCCAGTCAAAGTTCTCTCAAGAGCTGTTCTCACAGAGCTCTCTCAGCCCCACCTACCTCACAGGGTGTCTGGTGTGGGGAGAGGAAGGGAAGATGATTGTAAGCCTCTCTAAGACTCCGAGTTAAGGGCGGGGTATAAATCCAATCTCTTCTTCTTCTAAATAAATAAGACTGACTTTCAGGTGGGGAGCTGAGTTGGTCTGAAGCAACAGAACAAAGTTTGAGTCCAGTGGCACCTTTAAGACCAACGAAGTTTAATTTTGGGTATAAACCCAGGATTCAGCTTGGTTGGTCTTAAAGGTGCCACTGGACTCAAACTTTGCTCAACTATTTTAATGATCATTAAAGATTTTTTTGCTGGTTCTTTAAAATTGTGTTTTATTCGACCAGGAGTCCCCAACCTTTTTCATTTTGTGGGCATCTTTGGAATTCTGACACAGGGTGGTGGGCGAAACTACAAAATGGCTGCCACACAAGGCAGAACCATACACACTCCCAGAGAAAGTCCAAGAGCAGGGAGAAAGAGGGCTAATTTTAAAATGCATTGGAAAAGAAGGAGGAGGAGAAGGAGGAGGAGATTGGATTTATACCCCGCCCTTCACTACCCAAAGGAGTCTCAGAGCAGCTCACAAACTCCTTTCCCTTCCCCTCCCCACAACAGGCACCCTGTGAGGCAGGTGGGGCTGAGTGACAGAAACTGCTCTTTTTCAAGAACAGCTCTGACAGAACTATGGCTTTCCCAAGGTCATCCAGCAGCTGCAAGTGGAGGAGTGGGGAATCAAACCCGGTTCTCCCAGATTAGAGTCTGCACACTTAACCACGTCACCAAACCACTATACCAAAGAGAAGCGAAAGACAGACTATAACCCATGCTGGTGGCAGCTGCTGCCACCACATCAACATTATTTTAATCTACACAGGCAACCAGCTCTCAAGTGGCCTATCAGAAGCTGTGCTGGGCAAGAGCCCCACTTGGCTCCACCCACTTTCTGGAAACACTTGGCAGGTACCAGGGAAGGTGTTGGCGGGCAGCACGGTGCCCCAGGGCACCACGTTGGGGACCCCTATATTAGACATTCCTATGGCGTGATAACTGCAGAACTATCAGTAGCCACAGGGACCAAATTTGATAAGAGAATGCAGGGGATGGAACATTTTGAACTAAAATAAAAAGTGAAATGAAAGCAAGACCAAGCTGGTCCAGGGGTACAGCAAAACACCCTTTTCCTCCAGTCATGTAAAAAAGCCTTCTCAATCTGACTCTTTGACTGAGCCGCTATTAATGGAATGTGATCCTCCTGCCTTCCATGTTATCACAGAACAGATGGCGACGCTTTAATTTTAAGTAAAGCATTCACTGTGATAAACTTCTCAATTGCTAATCACTATTTACTATAACGGAGGTGGTGTTTGTTCACTGCAAGTACTTGTGAATCGGGCGAGAACGCTGGAAGGGTTTTGGGGGAAGGGGGAATGAAAAAATTTGTTTATCGGCCTGCTGGAATGGTGACGAACAGGAACAGAAAGCATAGGTGTTCGTAAGCCAAGTGTGCCAAAGCTGTCATCAACTGGCTTCTTTCTTGTATTTCGCTGTCTTTCGGCCAACCAATAAAATGATCAGCATTTTCTTTTTTTAAGATTCTCTATGTACACCCACTTTACAAAACGGAACGGGCTCTCTGCCTCCGCTTCAACACAACCCATTTTGACTGAGCTCGCGTACGCACGCAGAAAGTCCCCGGGCTCAGTGACAGAGCATCGTTTCGGCTGCAGAAGGCCCCAGGTTCGACCTGTGGCATCTCACGTTTTAAAAAGATCAAGAAGTAAGTTATATGAAAGACCTCTTCCTGAGATCCTGGAGAGCTGCTGCCATTCGGAGTCGACCATACTGACCCTGATGGACCAAAGATCTGATGCACTACATGGGATCCTCATATGTAGAAGATCCTGTGAATATCCAAAGTCGCAATGCAACTGTCTGCAACTTTCCACTATGGGATAACTCCAAAAATTCCATTCCACTAATGGTGGGGCCTTCTGCCATTGTGAGGACCACAACGTGGACACAACATGATGCTTCCACCTGCAAAAGGTTCCTTGCGGCAGAGGAAAACTCCATCAATGGTAAAACCAAAGCCTTGGCACCAACCCCATAGAGTCACTAAGGCAGGTAAGTCTCCTGAGCAGGCGGATGGCTTGAAAAAATCATCATCAGACTAGCTGAAAACAAATCCTGCCACTGGATGGACAAATCTGATATAGTCTGCTATGCCAATAGGGAATAATTCTATGCGTGCAACTTCACAGTGGTTATTTGGCTCCCCTTTGATTAAAAAACATGGTATATCTGCTCTTGGGTACAAAGTTAGAGATGCATCTGGAGTAGGGATGGGCACGAACCACACCACGGACCAAATTTTTCCACGGACCGGGACCTGGTTCGTTTGCCCTGTCTGTGCCCTCCCACTTTCCACAGGCCGCCCAGAGTTTTCTGGGGGTTTGTTTGGTCCATGAGCAGTCCATGGAAGTCAACTCAGAAGGCATTTAAATGCCTTATGAGTCCACTTCCGCATCATGCCGCCCGGGCAGCGCGATGTGAGAGAGCTCAGAAGGCATCTAAATGCCTTTTGAGTTGACTTCTGCATGGCATCACCACAGTGGTGGTGGGCTTGCAAAAGCCATTTAAAGGGATGTATTCCCTTTAAATGGCTTTTGTAAGCCCCCCCATCATGAACCTCAGAAAACACGGACTGGTTTGTAAAATGGAAACATTTGTAGAAGTTCATGGTTTGTGAAACTCACGAACCTCCCTTTTTTTTGGTTCGTGCCCATCCCTAATCTGGACCCTTGCAGGTGTCAGGGGGCACTGGGGAACAGTCTGTGGTGCCCCTGCAAGACAGAGCTGTTCTGTCAAACTTTTGGTTGAGACAGCGGGCATCCACATACGGCCTCCACGAGGTTGCTGTCTCCCACCTGCCAGCCATCCATCGATCGGCAACCGGCCATATCCATCTGTATTAATGGATCAGAACTTTCACCAGTAGCTATAACTGTTTTTTTTAATGTTTATATTGTGCTTTTAAACTTTATTGTAATTGTTGAAAGATGTGACCCGCCTTGAACCCGCTCGCAGGATGAACAGGATACAAATATGATAAATAAATAAATAAATAAATAAATAAATAAATAAAATCACTTTAAAATTGCCCTCCCCTACAAGTTCGTTTGCTATTAATAGGGAGAATCACTTCAAAATTGCCCTCCCTACAAGTTCTTTTGCTATTAATAGGGATGGGCAAGTAGTTATAAGGGACACCGAAGCCTCAGTCCCAAACATTATTTCAACAGTACAGGAAGAAGAAGAAGAAGAGATTGGATTTATACCCCGCCCTTCACTACCCAAAGGAGTCTCAGAGTGGCTTACAAACTCCTTTCCCCTCCCCTCCCCCCAATAGACACCTTGTGAGGTAGGTGGGGCTGAGAGAGCTCTGACAGAAACGGCTCTTTTTCAAGGACAGCTCTTATCAGAACTACGGCTTGCCCATGTTCATCCAGCCAGGTGCAAGTGGAGGCGTGGGGAATGTTCCCCCAGATTAGAGTCCGCGCACTTAACCACTAAGAATTTTACAAGACTTTGCCAGCACAGTTTAAAGCATATCTTTGCCACCAGAAAGGCTCGAAACGTGGGGGTTTTATATAAAATAAGGAAGCCGAAAGTCTTAGAAAGCTACATTCTGCAGCCAGTAATTTTATACATTTGAGGAATCTCCATACCACCATTTTGACCTAGATGGTCCGGACCCGGACAGCCCGATCGCATTGAAGCTCAGAAGCTAAGCAAGGTCGGCCCGGTTAGTACTTGGACAGGAGACACCTGAGGAAGTTCAAGGCTGCTCCGCAGACGCAGACCATGGAAAACTACCGCTGCTCATCACGCCCTGACCTGGGTAGCCCAGGCTAGCCTGCTCCCATCAGATCTCGGAAGTAAGCAGGGTCAGCCCTGATCAGTGACTTAGACTGGAGACCATCGAAGAAGTTCATGGTTGCTACGCGGAGGCAGGCAATGGCAGACCACCCCTGAACGTCCCTTGCCTTGGAAACCTTACAGGGGTCACCATAAATCGGCTGTGACTTGACAGCACTTCCCAAGACCACATGGGGCAGCTCTCCCGAGTTCTCCTCAAGGCAACTCACAAGCGACCCGCTCCATCGTTTGGGGAGGGGCTGTGGCCCAGTGGCAGAGCATCAAGCTTGGCAGGCAAAAGGTCCCAGGTTCAATCCCCAGCATCTCCAGTTAAAAAGGACTAGGCGGTAGGTGGTGTGAAAGAACCTCAGCCTGCGACCCTGGAGAGCTGCTGCCAGTCTGGGTAGGCAATACTGACTTTGATGGACCGAGGGTCTGATGCAGTATAAGGCAGTCTCTATTGAGATATATGTCTAGGTGATAGAGGTAGCAAGCAGTTACTAGATCAGTTTGATCTGTTTGACAGTCCTAGCTGTCATGCTAGTGATTAAGTGATTACAGCCAGGTGTTATACTAGCAGGTGTTCTCTATCAGGCATTGTTAGAGTAGGTAATTAATTCACCTTGTTAGTGATTGGCTGGGTTTAGTATATTAGCTATCAGCTTGATAAGCTAGGTGGGGACTTAGTCTCTCAAGCTAAGGCACGGTATGCTGTATGATAGCCTGTATATCTCTGTGTATATATTCACCATTATATCTATATAAACTTTCTATGCACCTTCATCACCAGTCGGTCTCCAATAGTCTCATGTGTGAGTTCATCTGTGACTATATCGAGCTGATTGTTTGGCTCCATGGAAGAGCTTCTGCTTGGCATGCAGAAGACCCCAGGTTTAATCTCCGGCACCTCCAGTTAAAAAAAGGATCAGACAGTAGGTGATGTGAAAGACCTCTCTCTACCTGAGACTCTGGAGAGCCACTGCCGGTCTGAGTAGACAAGACTGACCTTGATAAACTGATGGTCCAATTCAGTATAAGGCAACGTCATGTTTTCAATGCTTTTTAAATCAAAAAATCATCATTACGGTAACAAACAGCCATTTTGGGGGAGGCAAAGCCTGCGGCATGCAAACCAGGTCAGACTTACCTCTTCCATCCTCTGGACTCGCTTCTCCAGCTCCTCGATCCGGCTGTACTTTTCTTTAAGTGCCACATTCATCCGGCTGAGGTTCTCCGTACTTTGCGCTAACGTCTCTTCTTGCTCAGACTTGCGTGCCTGGAATGGGTGAGAGGCGGAAAGAGAGGATTTAAAGGGGAAGCGACCCTCGGAGGGGGTGACGAACAAAACTTGCTGTCCTGCGCGAATAAGTTTAAATTTATAAGAAGTTTAGTTAAAAGATATGTTACCTGTAGAGTTTGATCAAAGAATAAGTGGGAAAGAGGGGAACAAAAGATTTGGGCTGGAGGTTGGAGCACTGCGGGAAGTCAGAAGGGGTGGGAAATTAGGAGAAAATGATATATGATCGTTTGTAAGGTGATGTATAACTTGACTTATTGATATATCCTAATAAAAATTGTTTTTTAAAAAAACTTGCTGTCCTGCAGCCACACGGTCTTATTCTGTCTGCTCGGGGCAAGGTTGTCATCCAAAGAAACAAGCACCCGGAAAGCAAGAAAAGCTGTACTCCAGAAGCCAGCCTGGGGCTACCTACATGAGCAGGAAGAAGGGGTTGTCAACATCCACGTGTTCTATAAGTCTGGCTGTAAGATCATATCAATCTGTTAGACAGGAGCTGACAGCTCAGAGTGTCAGTAGAGCTGGCTCCAACCGGTTCTGTCTAGTTGAGGGCAGAGCTAATTAACAGTGACTCAGCATTGGGTCCTGATTGGACAATGCTTGCATATATGTGATGCTGTACAATGTGCCATCCTTCCTGATGGAAGCCTGGCGTCTGCGTGAGCATTTTGTCGTCCTGGACAATATATTGGTGGAGGCTCGTGCAAATAAACTGTATATAGTTTTACACCAAGCCTAGAAGACTTACGTCTTCTTTGATACTCTCTCACACCACTCGCAACCTGCAGTGGGCTAGCACCGCGCAAACCTCGACAGGGGGTGGGTCTCATCCAATGCACCCTCTAAACTGTGGAGTCTTGTGAGCAAAAATTCCACTTTGTGAGCTACTGGCATTAAAGTTATGAGCCGGTGATTTGGCGACTGCATAAATTAGTTTGCTCTGGAGCCCTCCTTCCTGAGCCAAGACAAAAATCTGTGAGCCAGAGGCTAAAAAATGGTGAGCTAGCTCACACTAACTCAGCTTAGGGGGAACACTGGTCTCATCCTAGCTGTAGCTGCCAAAATGTGAGTGGAACCTTCCTTAGGCTTGCCAGCTCCTGGATGACAACTACCTGGAGATTTTTAGGGTGGAGTCTAAAGAGGGTGGTGTTTGGGGAAGGGAGGGACTTCTTGTTAGATCGGACTAACAAAGACTTGGAGAGTGGTTTCAGCTCAGTGATTCAGCTTTATTGCAGTAGTGAACACTCAAAACGTATTCAAAACCAGAACAGATTAACATTGGGAGCTAGGCTCCTTTTAAACATTCCCGGGCTAACATAGCCATGCCTATTTACAAAAGTAACCAATAGGGTTATTAGGACCAATGATAGTCTTTCCCTCGCAGGGAAATAGTGCAGTTCTGATTGGTCGCTGTTACAGAGCGACCAATAGGACGTTTGTTCAGTGGAGCCCTGGCTTGGCTTTAAGCTTAACCTGGGGGTTCAATGAGGTGATTCATGTAATCGTTTTCAATACATTACACTTCTATCGGGTATAATGCCATAGAGTCGAAGGAGGAGGAGGGGATTGGATTTATACCCCACCCTTCACTACCTGAAGGAGTCTCAGAGCAGCTTACAAGAAAGTTAGACATACCCTATCTAATGACATGATTAAAAGAGTGTAGTAGTCGTGACAATTCCCCAAAACCAATTTCTCTTGCAAGTTCAGCTTCTGCCACAGTCACTGGCAGTATGCAACAAAAACTATACAGCTATGCAGGGGTCATTTCGTAGAAAAAGAGGTGCAGGAGCTCATTAGCATAACTCATTAGCATAACTCATTTGCATATGCCACACCCCCTGATGTCACCGGAAGTGTGTCAGAAGGCAAAACCCACCGCTCAGGCTCCACTGGACTGTTTTGGATTGTTAGCTATTGGGGGGAGAAAAGTACCTCTTTCTTTACCTGCTCTTTCCCATGCATAATCTTATAAACCTCGATCATGTCACCCCTCAGTCGTCTTTTCTCCAAGCTAAAGAGCCCTAAGCGCTTTAACCTTTCCTCATAGGGAAAGTGTTCCAACCCTTTTATCATTCGAGTTGCCCTTTTCTGCACTTTTTCCAAAGCTATAATATCCTTTTTAAGGTGTGGTGACCAGAACTGCACACAGTATTCCAAATGAGGTCGCACCATTGATTTATATAGCGGCATTATGATATTGGCTGATCTGTTTACAATACCCTTCCTAATAATCCCCAGCATAGCATTGGCCTTCTTTATTGCAGTCACACACTGTCTCGACATTTTCAGTGAGTTATCCACTACAACTCCAAGATCTCTCTCTTGCTCAGTCTCTGCCAGTTCAGACCCCATCAATGTGTATTTATATTTAGGATTTTTGGCTCCAATGTGCATCACCTTGCACTTGGCCACATTGAACCCCATTTGCCATGTTGACGCCCACTCGCCCATCCTTGACAGATCCCCTTGGAGTGCCTCACAATCCTCACTGGTTTTCACCACCCCGAACAACTTTGTATCATCCGCAAATTTAGCCACTTCACTGCTTACTCCCATCTCCAAATCATTAATGAACAAGTTAAAAAGCAGTGGACCAAGTACTGATCCCTGCGGTACCCCACTGCTTACCACCCTCCACTGAGAAAATTGCCCACCTACACTCACTCTCTGTTTTCTATGAACTAGCCAGTTTTTGATCCATAAAAGGACTTGTCCTTCTATCCCATGATTTTTGAGCTTACTTAGGAGCCTTTGATGAGGAACTTTATCAAAAGCTTTCTGGAAGTCAAGGTAAATAATATCTATTGGATCCCCCTTGTCCACATGTTTGTTCACCCCCTCAAAGAACACTAACAGGTTAGTGAGACAAGATCTTCCCTTACAGAAACCGTGCTGAGTCTGCCTCAATAGGTTTTGTTCATCTATGTGCCTACTAATTCTTTCCTTAATAATGGTTTCCACCAATTTACCCGGTATCGACGTCAGACTGACTGGCCTGTAATTTCCCGGATCTCCTCTGGAACCCTTTTTAAAGATGGGAGTGACATTAGCTACCTTCCAATCCTCAGGAATGGAGGCAGATTTTAAGGAAAGATTACATATCTTTGTCAGGAGATCTACAAGTTCACATTTGAGTTCTTTCAGAACTCTCGGATGTATGCCATCTGGGCCTGGTGATTTTTCAGTTTTTAAGTTGTCTATCAGTTTTAGGACCTCCTCTCTCATCACCTCAATCTGACTCAGGTCTTCCAACACCCCTCCTGAAATCAGTGGTTCTGGAGTGGGCAAGCACTTCTCATCTTCCACAGTGAAGACGGAGGCAAAAAATGCATTTAGCTTCTCAGCCATTTCCCTATCATCCTTCAATACTCCTTTTACCCCTTGGTCGTCCAAGGGCCCCACTGCCTCCCTGGCTGGTTTCCTGTTTCTAATGTATTTGAAGAAAGTTTTATTGTTGGTTTTTACGTTTTTTGCTATATGCTCCTCATATTCCCTTTTTGCCTGCCTGACCTCAGACTTGCATTTTATTTGCCATAGCCTGTGTTCCGTTTTATCAGCCTCACTGTGACTAGCTTTCCACTGCTTAAAGGAATTCTTTTTACTTTTTACAGCCTCCATTACTCTGTTTGTTAACCATGCAGGCTTTTTCCTATACCTGTTTGTGCCTTTCCTAACCTGCGGAATATATATTTTTTGAGCTTCTAGGATCGTAGTTTTAAATAGATCCCAAGCTTCCCCAATTGTTTTGACCCTTTCTACTTTTCCTTTCAGTTTCCTCCCCACGTGTCCCCTCATATCAGAGAAATTACCCCTTTTAAAGTTAAAAATGGTTGTGTGAGTCTTTTTGGCCAATTCTCTATTTGTACAAATGATGAACTCAACAACATTATGATCACTGTTTCCAAGCGGTGCAATCACTTTTACATCTCTCACCAGGTCTTGAGTGTTACTTAGGACCAAATCAAGGATCGCCTCTCCCCTGGTAGGTTCCGTGACCATCTGCTCCATAGCACAGTCATTTAGAGTGTCTAGAAACTCAATCTCTTTTTCCCGACTAGAACACATATTGACCCAATCAATGTGTGGGTAGTTAAAATCACCTATTATTACACAGTGTTTTTGTCTAGTTGCTATCTTTAAGGCATTCATCATTTTATAATCCTCCTCTATCTTTTGATCTGGTGGGCGATAACAAACTCCCAGTGTTAAGTTTCCTTTTGGCCCCCCTATTTCAACCCATAGAACTTCCAGAAGCGAATCCAATTCACTTAGCCTCTCAATCTTTCTAGACTTTATACCCTCTCTGACATACAGAGCTACCCCACCTCCAACCCTTCCCCCCCTATCCTTCCGATATAATATATAACCGGGAATCACTGTGTCCCACTGATTTTCCTCATCCCACCAAGTTTCAGAAATACCCACAATGTCTATTTTTCCCTCCGACACCAAGCACTCCAACTCCCCGATTTTACCTCGGACACTTCTAGCATTTGTATAGAAACAGCTGTAATTTCCCTTACAAGTTAAGCCTGCATCCTTCCTCTTGCTATCTCGAGTCGTTGTCCGGCAGTCCATGTCACCAGCCATGGCCTCTGTGGACAATTTCAATCCACCTCCCTGTAGAAAAGCAACCGGTACCCCCTCACCTCTCTCAGATGAGCCAACCCGAACCAGAGACTTTTCATCTCCTGTCGGCTTTCCCCCAATATTCAGTTTAAAAGCTGCTCTGCCACCTTTTTGATTTTAAGTGCCAGCAGCCTGGTTCCTTCTCGGGACAAGTGGAGACCGTCTCGCCTGTACAGCTCCCTCTTGTTCCAAAAAGTATCCCAGTGCCTAACAAACCTGAACCCTTCCCCCCTACACCATCGTCTCATCCACGCATTGAGACTCCTGATCTCTGCCTGTCTCTCCGGCCCTGCGCGTGGAACAGGTAACACTTCTGAGAAGGCTACCTTGGAGGTCCTGGACCTAAG